TTATGGCTGGTAGTTAAACATGTTCCAGTGAAATAATAAATGATATTTATACGAGGCTTGAATTAAGAGGTAAGTGGCTTGACTCGAGCAGAATAGAAAATTAGAAGAAAAGACAAATCTCGATAAATCGGCCATACAATATTTATAGAATTAAAAAAAGGCGGGGGTTGCCTAAAAAAATTTGAATAATGAAGAGCGGCAGGGTTAAACTGAGTTGCAGCCTTAAATTCAAGCAAACGCGAGCCGTGATAAATCCGACATATGTGTGCGCTTTGTTCGCGGCGAAAGAAATGCGGCGCATGTGTGTAAAAGGGCAAAAATATCCCTCATCAGGGCTCGCGTGAATGGGAAGCCGCAAAAGAAGACCGGATGTGACGACCCTGGGACTGTCTTTTCTAAGAGTTCGAATTAGTCGTATAGCTGGAAGTGCCCGCGGGATATTACTATGTTCAGAGATATCGAGAAGTCGAAGACGAAGACGAGAACGACAACGACAACCACGACAACCACGACGGCAACGACGACGACGACGACGACGACGACGACGATGATGACAACAAGGAGAACGAGAATGACGACCTAGTCTCTACATCGGGAGGTATTGAAGGGATTCCAATCGGCACAGAAAGAAGTAGGGTGAGAGGAAGGGAGAGGAAGAGAGAGTACGAGTCCGTTACGCTGACTGGACTCTCTCACGGTTATGTACGAGAGTCGACCGCTTTTTTTTTATTATGGGGAATCAGTGACGCATATTATCGGCATTTTTATTTATTGTCTAACGAGTTCACCGCGCACCATGCGCCTATTTCATACATCTCTCCTTCTCCTGCACTCCCTCTCCGACCTCCTGCCCCTACCACCTCTCCTCACCTCTCCAGTACGCCGTGTATGTGTACGAGTCGTTTGGGAGATGCATAGCATAGGCGTTGGGGACGCGAACCAGAATCTTATTCGTCATCTCGTCTTTCAATGAGGACTCGTGTGAATCTTTTGTGCTGGCTAATCGACTTTTTTGCTGGCCTTTCAAAAGTTAATTGCCCTAATGAGAATATTCAGATTGTCAGTGATTATTTAAGAAGCGAGATGGATTCATCGGAAAGTGAAAATTCGCTACTTCATCTCGAGGAAAACTTTCCTACTGTTTATATCAACGCCCCTCCCTCCCCTTCTGCCGGTTAACGGTTTTGCTTGTACGAAACCAAACACATTTTATTCACCCTTTCTTTGCTCTTTTTATCGACATCGCATTCACGCAGTCTTACACATCGTTCTCATGCGTACATATAACATTCCATGTTTAGCAATTAGATGCTTTCGTGAGTGTCTGCGCTCCTCGTTGCGAGTCTAAATATCAGAATATCACAATAAATATATAATATTGAAAATTTATTGTAAAGCGTTGCGTGCCTGCTTCAATTTTATTTTCAAATAATGTCCTTAAGCTTTTTTTGGCTATCGTTTAAATAAATACTGTCTTTTTTTTCATAAACAAGATATTGAAAAAAGTTTGTCGCCTATTACTTATTTAAAATAATTTATGCTTGCCCTATTAAATTAACAAATTAAAAATATTCGTCCAATTGCAGTATTTTACTTGTTCTTAATAAGTCGTTCGATTAAAGTATTTGCAAGTGTTTTTTTTTTGTTTTTTTTTTTTGTTTTGTTTACAACGAATTAATACGGCAATTTTGTTCGACTAAGGGAGAGTATTTGATTGCACTTTTTACGAATCCACACCGTCTCGTGAAAATCGTGAATTTTCTCGATGACTATTTGTTGGCATACGTTGGTCAATTTCGTTCCATTTACAATGAAAAGAAATGTAAAGAGAAAAATAATAAAATCAATAACTCCTTAATCGTCGTTAATAAAAAGCTTACGCCCCCACTCGCTCGACAATTACTTTTCAAATATCAATGGTCGTGTCATTATTACCACCAGTTGGCTAATCGTAAATACTCACTTGATGAAAAATTGAAAAATTAATTACTGTTACACATTGTGATCCCCTACATCGAGTTCTATAGCACTAACCTCTCCTCGTTTAAACGTACACTAAAATAAAAAATTTACATTTAATGCCCGAGTAATTCATTCTAAAATTCATCTAAAATAACTGCACGTAAAATTGATATTCGTTCGACAATACAAGCGATTCGATTCCCATTTGAAATTTCGAGCAAGAAGGACCATCGCAGGAACCATCGATCGAACAAAATAGTCGTTGAACCGATGGTAACCGCTCTCTCTCTCTCTCTCTCTCTCTCTCTCTCTCTCTCTCTCTCTCTAAGATAAAGAACTGAAGCTAAAGGACCTGGGCTAAAAGTAATAACTGACGCGTTTATTACTCACTTATTATATGCGTGGAAGTATTATCGCGCAGCCAACAAGTCCAGACCTAATTTCCACCACCGCGCACGCGAGCGACATTCCCCCACCCCCAACTTTTTAAAAATCCACGTCGTAATCGAATACCCCGTGCCTCGACAACACTTGGTCACCAGCTCACATTATCCCATACAGACGTTGTAATTCAAGACACGTTTGACCGTCCGGTTTGTCCTGTCCCCATCCGCCATCCCGACAAATTTAAGTCTTCTCGTACTCATTCGGTTGGGGGTTATTAATGATAAAAGGGGGTGGAGATGACGATATGGGGTGGGGGTGGTCGCATCACCCAGTCCCTACGCGAAACCAACGATAAGTCGCGGCGCGTGTTGACTCTCGGTCGCAAACTGATAATATCCGTGTCCTCGAGCCCACGAGGGATGGGCCTTTGTGAACTCGTTCCAAAGAGACTAAGCCGGAGTGATCGTTAGGGCGACTAGCACGTTGCGATTCGAGCGATAGCCCAATAACCCCGTGGGCACACGGCAAACGGGAGCACGAGCTGTTTTCCCGTTGGCGCTCATTATGAAAATGGTGACGTAGTGAACGTCGGTGCAAAGGCATTGAACGGTAAACGCGCGGCGATCGATGCAAACTGACCGAAATAACTGTGCTCTACCTCCTCAGGCCACATACTTTCGAAAAAATTTTTTCCCGAATTGTCATAACTAAAACTAGATCTATCCTTCTCTCTCTCTCTCTCTCTCTCTCTCTCTCTCTCTGCCCTTAGGACGTGAGAGCCTCTCCTCTCTCACTCTCTTCGACACACACACACACTATCTTTCTCTCTCTCTCTCTTTCTCTCTCTGTCTCTCTCCTTCTGGATCCCTCTCCACGGAACGTTCGAGGGGATCGGCGGTGAAAAAGGAAAGACGCGCGCGACTTACACTCGTTGGTAGTTGCGAATCGAAGAATGCGTACGGCCGGGATCGGGGTCCGGGGGCCCGGGGGTCCGGTAGTGGGCACGGGAGGGAGAAGACAGTCGTGGAATTGAATCCTGGTGATGCCAGAAGCCGGCTTTTCTTGGGCCGTTGGGCGGGTGCGGCGAGACCGAGAGAACGAGTGAGCGAGATAAACAGGCAGATAGACAGACAGACAGAGAAAGAGAGCGGGAGACGGTGTCCCGCGCGGTCCAGCGGCGGCGTCTCCTCCCGAGCGCGAGGAGCTCCGACATCGGGGCTTTTAAAGTCTGCTTGCTGTCCGCTCTACGGGGGAGAGGCAGGGGAGGCGGCGCACCTGTTGATGGCGCGAGGCCGGCACCGATTTTCCTCCTCGCGCACGGGCTTTCTCTGGAAGGTGGGTGAGAGAGAGCGCGCGCGCGCTCGCCCACCGCCATAATGAGAGCGGCCCTCGAGTTCGAGAGTTCGAGTCTGTGTTTGAGTTCAGATTGGGGCTCGGGTAGGTTGTAGGGTTGGAGCTCGGCTTGGCAGTCGGGTTCGAGATCGGGATTGGGATTTGGATCGAGATCGGGATCGGCATCAGGATCAGGGTCGATGTCAAGATTCGGTTCGGGATCGGGATTGGTTTGAGATTGAGGGGTCGGTGTTAGAGACGTGATTCGAATTCCTGGGATGGTAACCAGGACCGGGACTACCTTGTCCAGGGTTGAGATCGCGTGAGGTGGACAAGAAGATCGTGGGTCCGCGTCGTCCGCGTAAACTCTACCTACCGTGCGCTCGGGCTGTCCTGTCCCCCGACGACGCTCGCTCTCACCCCCTGGCACACGCGCACAGCACACACGCGCACAGGCGTACAAGCGTGCACAAGCACGGGCACGCGACACGCACGGGCGCACGCACGAAGAAAAGGACGGGAGGACTCTCGTGTTACTCTCGGCTGAGGTCGGGCTTCCGATCCGGAGAACGTTACAACGTTGTTGCGCCCGAGCGGCGGCGACGATTACTGCCGAGGGACTCGCACTCGCTGTTCTCCGGGGCGATCGAGGCGATCCGGCTGCTCCCCTCCCTGCCGCCGAGCGCTGCTACCGTCCGTCCGCAATTCCATCACGGCACACCGACGAACACACACGCGCGCGAGCGCCCAGAGTTCCCCGCCGGCGCTCGTTCCCGCCGCCGTGAGCGCCGAGGAGTGGTGTGGTCGAGTGGAGTCAAAGTGGAGTGGTGTTGGAGTTGAGTGGAGTTGAGTGGAGTGGAGTGGAGTGGATTGGAGTAGAGTGGATTGGAGTAGAGGAGAGTAGAGTCGAGTAGAGTGATGAGATTGGGGGGAGGGATGGTTGTACGAGTAGCTCCGCGGACCTTAATCGTTGCGGATTGCGCTGTCGCGGCACTGGAACGCGGCGGTCCTCGGTGTCCCCTTCGGTGCCGGCGATCGCTCGATGGCGTCGGAAGTGCAGGGTGGATGCTGTAAAAGCTCGGTGAATTGTCGAGTTAACCCGGCGGCCGTCTTAGGGTCGCTCTCACCGCCTCATTCGTCTTTCGGCAAGTGTGCATAATAGGGTCGCGTGACCGAAGAGAAGAGGAGACGTCGAGCCGCCGCGAGACCACGAGTAAATTAGTTGATAACGGCGCGGCAGGGCGCGATCGGGGTCCGAGTGTAGGTTTCGCGGTTGTTGATGATGTGGCAGATTGGTATGCTTATTATTATGCCGGTGGCGCTGAGGGGCAATTTTAATGGGGTCGGCGTGGAGGTTAAGGTTATGCGACGGTGGCCGTTGGCTCGCGAAAGGAGACGAAAAGTCTTTGAGAAAATGTCGCGGATGAAATTGATCGAGGAGGGCGCGATACTTTATTCGGTACTTTATCGCTGGTGGATATTGGGAGTGGGATGGTTGTTCGACCGTATGTGGTGTCCGATTGACGGAGGGAGATTTGGTTGTGGTGCGCGAGATGGGTAGGGACTGGTTGTTATCGTTGCATTGATTCATGTAGAATTTAATAGTAAGCCGGGAGACGTTGAGCGATGAGAGAAAACTTTGCGTTTGTACGTCATTCGGGCTATCTTGTGCCCCTTCTTTCGATTTACATTAGCGGTAAGTTGAAATGTCGAGTGGCATTTGTACCATTGGTGCTGTGGCTTAATTTGGCCCTTACGTTGATTTTTGCGACGATCCGCAGCCCTGCAGACGATTACGATTGGATGTTGGGTTATACCTGAAGCCGACCAGCAGGGAGTACTCCACTCGTTTAAAAGTTACGAGGATCTCGTTGTGTTTCATTATAGTGTACCGAAGCAAGTGCTTTACGCTAGTTGGCAGTTCTCCGCGTTCGCCAATAACGAGAAATGTCCGGCACGGAATGTCCACGTGTAAGCGCACCTTCGGTCCTGCCCCATTAATTATGCAACTGCGCTTTTAGTAATAATGCACTTTTTGATCTTTGTGTGTCAATAGATTTTTAAAATGGGGTAGCTATCCTGTTATTGACGTTGATAATGCGACGTATCCATCTTATATGTTTGTGGAGCACAGTGATACGACGAAGGCGTCGATCGTCACGGCTTACGAGTCCAAGTCGATCGAGATTATTCCGATTTACAGTCCAGTGCCGGGCGATTGGTTCGTAAGTGCCTATTTGTCCCATTGGGATGAGGAGGTGTACCAAAAGGTTGGTATTGCTTGTAACGTAAGTATTTGCGGGCAATGATTGAATCGACCTTGTTGACAAATGTCTTATGTGTTTAGGGTCTTGGCTGCGAGTGTCATTACAGTCTGAGTTCTGTGGCACTTTGGTCGGAGATCAATGGCATAGCGAATATTCCATTGGGTTACCAGAGAACGATGAGGACAAGCGGAGTCATCACATATTACAAGTATAATTGCATTAATTGTGCCTTGAGAGAACTATTAAGGGTGACAAACTGCTTTATCATTTCACAATTTCTTTGAAACACTTCATTGTAGAATATATATTCCGATGGATACGTGGAGCTTTTACGTGGATGTTTGGGGCTGCAATTTCACTTTAAAGAGAGCTCTGAACCATCGTGAAGCGTGCGTCGAGCATCTAGCCTTGGAAGGACAAACGCTCCCTGTCTACAATCGCTCAAATCCAGGTAACGTTGGAAATTTGTCATCGTCTGACACTTACGAGTTCACGGAAATGTCCCCCTGTCAAGATTGTTGGTACTATTTGATGGTTGTGTCCAGTAGCGTTGTAACTTTCGACATCCTGGTTACAGTATTTGGTTAGTCGCCAATGAGACTGGCTCTTAAATGAAGGAGATACGACTTTGAACGTAGGGGAAGGATTAATTTGGATATTTGTTGTAGATTGCCCAGTGAAAACCATAGAAGAAACACACATTCTACAACCTCGTCTTGGAAACACAAAAGTTTATCTGCAACCGTCAAGTCGTCTACACTTGAGTGTCTTAAAGGCCGACTCTGGCCCGCTTCAATTCATGAATCAAGCCTACGCTCGTCAAGCCAATCTCGTGTTTGATAAAAATAAATGGTTCGGCAACTTCGAAGGGGACCGTAATATTAACGCATGCGTTCCAAGGTATCAACTCGCCAGAATAAAGCACACGGAGCCCTTTTCCCGGGACTATTTATTAAGGGTAAATGGTCGCTCGAAATCATTGTCGACTCGTGACAAGAAAGACGTCTGGATTTTACGTTTACGCATGTACAATGATTTTCAGGGACAGGAGTGGCTCACGCAGCTATTAGCTCTAAGCGATAAATATCCAATCATTACGCAGTTCAATATTCTACCATTGGTCGACATTGGCGGTACACTCGATATTAGCATAAGTCTTGAAAGGGAGGAGGTAAATTTGTAATTATTATTATTAACATCATCGTCATCGTCAGCATTACATTTCATTCTGCGTTTCATTAGACCATAGCACTATGATTACATCATCATTTTCAGACTTTCAGCAAGCAACGCATAAACGTAGTTGTTTGCATAAGTCGCGGCCGAGTACCAAATAATCAAGCAAGTGGTAATGTTACATGCGATAATGCGCGAATGAAGATGCGATTGTCTTCCAGTGGTGGTATGCGCAATTCTAGTCTTCTAATTCCTTATCCGCAACCAGACACTTGGTATGTCGCGCTTCACACAAAATGCGAGATAAACGAGTGAGTTTGACATTTTTCAGAGATAATTATGTTCTAAGATTTTAGGCTTATGTTTTTTTGTTTTTCTTTCACCTACTCGCATTACTCTATCAAAATGTTATCCCTTGGTTCGTTCTTAATGCTTATGATTGCATTTCTTATACAGCTGTCTCAAGTCTCTAAATTTAGATAGTAATTGTATGAATGTTTTTAGAACGATATGGGTAGTTATTTTATTACATTACTTTGTTTAATCGTTTGAATTTTATTGACTTTTTCCCTTCATACAATCACGTACAATTATGGGAGAAGAGGATTGAAAACTTTTCTTCTTTTCTTTTTATTATCTATTTTTAATTGTAGATACATGTGGTACAGTATTTACACGTAGAGATATAAAAATTCGCATGTATTATCCACAGATTGCCTTTATCATGCGATACATAAATTTATGTTTACGATATTCTCCCACTGCTAGATTTAAATTTACAGTCGACACAGTTTTTCTAGTGAAAAATTAGCTTTGTTAAATAATGCTTTTATATTATATCTAGCACGCCTAGGCCTTGCGAACCGGAGCAAATATTAGTGTCGTTGAGAATCAAATTACGAGCCTGTGTTTTTGAAGGGAGTAATTCTTGCGGTCGGCATGGTATCTGTCAAGAAATCCATAAGGGCTTACTTTCTTATAGCGCTTGCAAATGTTTTCGAGGTAAGGGCTTATAACAAATATGCTAACATAAACCAAGGATTCATTATCTATAAATAAATTTATATCTGCTTAATTATAAAACGTATAGAGAAGCTTGTCTTTAATTTTCAGGTTATCAAGGATGGGATTGTACAGACTCATCAAATTCTCTTTCCCACTTTTCAATATTAACCACATCTCTTGCTTTAACGTTGAGCAATGTTTTTTTCGTGCCGGCTATATATTTGGCATTTAAACGCAAACTCCACGCGGAAGGTTTAATTTACTGTTGCGCAATGTTATTCTCTATGGTCTACCATGTTTGCGATCAGCAATTCGCTGCTTGCATCGCAAAGTTTGAAGTAAGCATGTATCTTTGTTGTTCTATGGTAATTGTAAGAAAATTATAACTACGAGAGACAAGCGTACGTGATTGTTATTAATAATTGTTTATGGTAATGTAGGTTCTGCAGTATTGTGATTTTTTCATAGGCTTACTCGCATTTTGGGTTACGTTAGTCGCTATGGCTGAAATACCGGCGCAATATACGTCATTTTTCCACATGTTGGGAGCTATCATTATCACATTTCAAATTAAATCGGATAAAACAGGACTGCTTAGCATATCGATACCCATGATTATTGGGATAGCCATACCGGTAATATTTTCTTTTTCATCAACGTGCATGGCTTAAATTTGGAATTGGTCGCGCCACTACTAATTTGCGTAATTAATACAGCTAACTACCTATGGATACCAGTGCTATAAAATAAATAAAATCACTTGGCCTAAAAGAATAATCAAATTAGCTATTGGCCTATCACTCGCGGGACTTGGTATTTTATTATTTTCTTTTGTTGAGACTGAATCCAATTATCAGGTTAGTAATTATCTTGAATGCGCCAAGAAATCAATACTTTGATGTTACGATTAACGATGAAACTTTATTTAGTACGTGCACAGTTTATGGCATGCAATTATTGCATTATCCTTAATTTTTTTATTGCCACCAATGAGAGAAGATGAAATTCTAAGGAGCAGATATGCCGATGAATTAAATAACAAACATTCTCCTGGAAATTCCGCTTTCAATATTGGTGAAAGCCATCGGAATAGCCAATTCATAATGGATGTTAACTAAATATTTTTTACTTGCACAGTATTGATTTGTTACCAAATGTTATTAGTAGACTCAAGAAAATTAATTTTCCTACAGATTCATATTTGAAAAAAAAAAAATTACAATAAATCATTAATCACATTTAATCAATTTTATGTAATAGCTATTGAAAAAAGAAAAAAAAAGACAAAGTTATTTTTAGATATATATATATATATATATACATGCAATATCAGTCTTTTTAACCATTACTGATTAAAAATACAATTAAGATATTTTTACAAAAATTGAATTTTCTGGACTTTTCTACTACAATAATAACAACTACGTTCCCTAATATTTTTGTATTGAATGTTGAAATACTCTTTCGTCGAAAGATGCTAGTGATTTATACTTCTAAATCTAAAATAAGCCTACAGTATATTTTGTATTTTCTTGAAATTGTATATAATGTCACGTTATCGTACGCACGGTAAAATGAAATAATTGTAATTAGATTGCTTTAGCAAAAATAGAATTCACGCTCGATCGAATAACAAAGAATGTAGTCAATCTCTTTAAAAACTTTAAAACTGTCATAATACACATGTGCTTCAAACAAATTTTCGTTTCTACTAACTCTTTTTCATTAACGTTATTTAATGTTAAACTGCAAATAATACTAATATATATATATATATATATATATGTGTGTGCGTGTGTGTGTGTGTGTGTGTGTGTGTGTTTTTTTTTAATACGCATGTTAAACTAACATATATCTAAGTATAAAATTTATAAAATATATTTTATTATGATGTGTTAATACATGTTATCTTAATTATAAGAATTGAAATTTATAGAAAAATTGTACTTCAATGTATATTAAAAAAAAAATAATTTTATTATTTTAATGTTGAATATCTTTAATAAAGTTGTACGACTTTTATATTTATATATCCTTATTAAATAAGTTCGTTAGATTTTCAAATACTTAAAAGTGTGCAATAAAATTAAAAAAAAAATTTTAAATGTATTTATAATCATTGTAATTCTTTATTACATGATATTTTAAATTTCACATTCATTAATCATTCCAAAAGAAATTACTTACATTTCTGTTTAAGACCATCGAGTGGCCATGTTTTTCTCTTAGTTTTAAACAAACATATGTTAATTATAATTTTTGACAATTAAATTGAAAATTGCGTGTAAATAAATCAATGATAAATTTAGATTTTTATATCTACTGCAGCTACTCTTAAACAGAGATTTTTTTAAAGTAAATATTCATTTTCAATTAAATAACCAAAACTTAAACAATATTTAAAATAGAGAACATCATAAATTTACAAACATAATCATTCGGTAAGATTCTAATCATTCATTTTTCTGCTAAAATTCACAAGTAGAGGCTCGTATTGTAGATCGCAATCTCCAAGCCAGTCGGATGCATCGATCATGATTTTATATAATCGCCCCAGGTATTTCTCGTAAATGCTTGGAATTATAGAATTTTCTGATTGTCATAATTTCACTTGATCTTGATATATCTCATATTCAGTCGATTCTTCAGAACAGTCTCGAATTTCTTCGGAAAACATTTCCCAAACCTTTTCATATTGAAACAGACATTTAGATGAATGTATTCGTTTAATATATAAAAAAAATATTTGAATTTATATGAAATTTTTTTTGGAAATTTAAATTGCAAATTATATTATATAGTATCAACGTATCAACTTCATCTCCACATTTACCTCCATCCATTTATTGCGTAAGATATTGTTAAAGCTTGGACGTTCCTTCAATTGAAATAGCGTATACAGCATCTCAATGCCCATGTCCACGCTTACAACATCCTGAAATAAATTATTGAGAAGATTTTTCATGGTGTTTTCCAATTGGTCAACTTCACATCGAAAATTTGACATGTCTTGAAACCATTTTAATTCCATGATATTTAGCGTATAATCCGAACTAATTTCCATGTTATTCATTATTTCAATAAAATCATTCTTAATCCGCCTGTACTGCGTCTCATAATAATTCCCATTAGTGGAGCCAAAGTTAATTTTATTCGAGCTGAAAGATATTCTCTCTTAATTATGTCTCACCTCTGTTTTAATTTTCCATTTAACATAATCATACCTGCCGTATATTTTCATTACATCGCATATTTCACACACATCCCGACATCTTTGCTCAAAAGCTTCGATACATTTAAAAACGATCGTCTTATTAACTCTCCAATTATCCGAGCTCGATTCGCAATTCCTAACAATCTACAATGATTAAAGTAAATGATTTCCCTGCAATTCCTCACCTTTCTATCTTTAATTAAAATCTTTATTAAAACGTACAAGTTTCAAATATCGAATTGTCTACTACATAAAATTATAATTTACTAGATTTCAACTTTTATTGGAATCAACTTACGCTATCATAAATTTGAGAGTAAATTTCGCAGCAGGTGAGAGTCGTTTGAACAATTTCTTGACATACTCGTAGATCGTTAAACATTAGCTTCAAATCAATGCTATTGATGCACACTTCAACGACATAAGAACTGAGCGAACATAAAAGTCTCTCCACGTTTCTCCTATCGAGTTGGAACAACATGTAAAATCATTTATAAAATATTATCGAGTGTATGGGGGTATTCAACAATATCGAAATAATAAAAACGATGTGATACTTACGATACGTTGTAATGAGACGACTCATTCCAAATGTATCGAATAATATGTAAAATTCTTGGCATGCAATCGTAAATTTGACTGGGTTGGGTAAAAATTTGACAATTCTCAAGTACAATCTCTAAATATATTAAATTCGATACGGCATCATTTAAAGCCTTGCCTACTTTTGCAACAACTGTTTGAAAATCATTTATACACCACAATCGTAGATTTCTCAATTGTTCAATTATTAATACGATTTGTTGATTTTTTAGTTGTATTGATATACAAGATAAGATCTCGTCTATAAAAGTGCAAGTAATGTAAAATTATAAAAATCATAGTATAATTGAAAATTCAATCGTCCCACACTAATATATATATATATATATATTGCATCAATTTTTATATTAAATATGATAAGAAATGCGTTAATCGCATAATATCCTATGAACATACATCTACTTTGCCAGAATTCATATTCGCTTGTTATGTCATAAGATTGGCATGTAAAATTTGGTAAAATCATAAGTGCCTCTTGAATCTGTTTTATCCACATCCTAGTAACTTTTTCTAATCTATTAATCAACGATTGTTGCTCGGTTTCATACTTCGTGCTAATAATACTTTCTCTCTCTTTTGCAGAATATTGTTTTACGTCCTTTAATAGATTTACTTCCCACGGTATGTAGAGTATAAACATTCCCATTGGTTTATAAGTCGCATCCATTGCTTGCATGAGAAAATCATTAATATTTGAGAAAATCTTATCTTTCATAACTGAATGACATTTCGTAAGGATCTGGAGTTTGAAAAGTTTTATAATGACAACATAGGCCGACATATTTAAAATATTCGTATAGCCACTAATACAACTTTAAAAATACACGGGTTATTTTTATTATAAATTTCTTCAACCGTAGCGTTTTATAATTCTTTTAACAAACAATGAAGACAATAATGGTAATGATCGGAAAAAGCAATTACGGGCATTGTTTTGCGAATTTTATTTAAATTTAAAACTCACGGAGAATGCTATTGCATATGAAATGTTATTTCATGTAAGATTAAAAGCAATTTATAAACGTTCATATTCATAATAAGTTAAAAGATATAATGGCAATACTTGCCTCAGCCATTAGTAGTTTCTACATTTCCGCATTGACGATCGTGTAATAAATGTCTTTCCTGGCACTCCTCATAACATATAGCATATTTTTTTTTTACTTTTTTGAATAGTTCAACTTCACTCAATAACGATCGCTTTTAATATTCCGAGAGCTATTTACGTTTAAATAACATAAATGTTATTACAATCTTTAGTATTCGCTAATACTTACGAGTACCACGATGCACTTTCTATTTAATTTTAATCCTACTCAATAGTAATAATGTAATATTTATTATTGGATGATCTGTAATATTAATTCATTTAAGTAGCGAATACTTAATGAAACGAAACAGCCCTATCTAATTTTTTCACATTTTTCTAGAAAATTGTGTGAATTACTTTGTAAATAACTCTATAATGGCCTACTTGGCAAAGTGACGCTTTTATGGCAAATATCATAATATGTAAGTGATTAAATAATTGTTTCGTAATCAGATATGAAATACATATACCGATCATATTTAAAGTAGATTCGTTAAATTGGCTGATTTATAGGCAATTATTTTTTATTCTTAAGGACTTTGGATGAATGTGTATTTAAATTCTGACAATCATTGGATTTTAATGATCGAAAATAACGTTTCGAAAAAATCTCCCCATCACTTATTCAAATATTAAAGTGATAGCGGAAATCGAGTAAAATAATTGTCAATTTGTGCATTAATATAAGCTTTTTTGTTTATTTCGATGGGTAATATTTACTCTACGCCCATTTAAAAATATATTATCTGATATATTTTTACAAAATAAATAAATAAAAAAACCATTGGTAGTTGAGTTAAAATTTAGCTATTACCGTTAAATAATATATATATATATATATATATATATAACATATGCGCTTGCTTTCACGCTTTCTTACGTAAGTTGTACACGCGCGTTCTCAAGCGACTATAATATGTTCGCGTTTTTACGAGAATTTTACGCGAATTTTATGCGGTTCAATCGGCCTTTACGAACGTACTCGATTATTTTATTTTCGAGCTTTCACGTGCCATTGCGCTCGATTGAGAAGCTCCATGTTGTAACATTGGCCAGTTCACGCGGACTTGAATTTCTTTCTAAAATATATGCGCCATTCGTATTTACGCGTCATGATATTGGGATGAAATAATTTAATAATGCGTATGGAGGTGTACATTTAGTAACTTAAGTTCAAGATGAAGGACATAATAATTGTGCATCGCTCGCATTGCCCAAGACCATTGAGTGAAAGGCTCTTTCGCTCTTTGCGTTACTCGCGATAAGCATTTTGAAAAATACGTAACAAAATGAAGGATACTGTCGGACCAATCACTTTTAAAGACAAGCGGAGCGTAAAGTCCGCTGACAAATTTGAAAATGGTATTAACCACTCCTCCGGCGACGCTTCCAAACTTTAGGTTGTCCCCCGGGCGGTAAATTTGCCCTGCTGTCCGTATAATATAGACTAGACCATCGTCACTGCTATCCGGAAAGTCTAGGAGTGCACGCAACTCCTCTCCTGATAAGTAGATGGTAAGGACGGTGTATTTCGAATCTCGAAAGTACTCTCGGATGAGCTCCAGGCACGACTCGGTCCAGGATGACTCCGATGATAATCCCGGGAGTACCGTTAAATCCTTTGCGTGCTGCACCTAAGGCATAATCTACCTTATACATATATTCTTTTCACGTTGTGTAAAGCTGGATTATGAGGATGGGGGGTGGGGGTGGAGTTTTTTTTTAGTTTACTCGAGCGGATGGGAACAAGCAGCGTTTATCGCTAGATGCGTTTAAGAATTTGCTTACTAACCAAAGTATCGAGCTCGTTGTCAGTTAATTCAGGTTCATATGGCTCGGGTGGAGCTTCGACTTGCGACTCGAGTATTTCTTGAATTAAAGTATGAAATTAAAAGATGCTGTTATTATAGAAAATTGCATGACTGTGTGGAGCGTGATGTCGAGAGCTGACATAATACGTTTCGTATTACTACAAATGGAAACAATGTTTTCGGTATTTCAGCAAACTTATCTTTGTTTATAAAAAATTAATAAGATTTTTAATTTATGAACTAGCAAAAGTCATCGAGTCTGTAAATATTTAATTTATAAAGCTAAGGAAAGAACATTTTTTCCAACAACTTCGAAATAATTTGCAAAACTATGCATTTTTATAAAATGTTAAATTCGGAGAAAGCTAAGAGCAATCATTTTGTAAAAACTATTTTTAATAATTTTTTGCTAACGATTACACGATTATTTTTCGCGATTTTTTAACAATTATCAGCAGTAGAATCGAATTATGGGCATGGATATTCGATTTTATAATAAACCAAAGAGATACCTCGATGTTTCGTTATATACTTTATGTCTCCGATTTATGATATAAAAATTGAAAAATTATTTATAAACAAATCTGATGCTTAATTCATAATTGGTGTATCTAGAAAAATAAAAAAAAATTTTTATACAGTTTCAGTTATTTCATTATGAGGTTTATTATTTATTTATATTTTAAATTTATTTATATTCAAGTTCAATAGTATCATGATTTTTTTTTACAACGTTATATAACATATTGAAAATTTTAATAAATATTATAATAAAATGAATAAAGTGCTATATTAGTAATCCGCTAAAATCAATTATTTAATATCAAATTGCATCAACGTTCATTATATAATAAATTCTTTTTAAGATTAATCATACCGATAAATTAATACTAATAAATAATAATAATAATAATAATAATATTAATAATAATAATAGAAAATTAATAAGGGAATGAAAGGTTTTATATTGTAAAATGCAAGAAAATATTAACTGGCATACTTTTTCCATTATAAAACTTTAAATGGTTAAAGCTGATAAATCTTAAGTTAAGCCTGTCTGTTCTTTTGGATTAGCCACTCTATTCGAATACTAGGGGATGTTTATTTTTCATCGATTGAAAAAAGATATGACTCCAATTAAGCTGGCGAGAGCACCTAAGGGAAAGTTGCCGAGCAAAGACAAATCGTTAGCACAATAAAACAATTAAACCTTTGACAGATGCGACACTCCGCTTATATTACTTCAGCATTTCTCCGTATTTTATTGCACGCGTCTTTTCACGTATAAAGTAAAACTACCTGAAACTTTATTGTTTTGTCTCTTGTCAAAATCAATTTCACTACAATGGACAAACTTGTAAACACCTGGACAGCTATTCATTCTCATGCTTGTGTTGCTTTTTTAATATGTGAAAAATCTTTTGATATCCGATTCAGCGTTAGCTTGATTGAATAATTAATTCAACTGAAAAATCAATTGCCACTAATAATAAATAATAAAGACAACAGCAAAGTGGCCAAAATTGAAGAAAAAAAAAAATAAATAAAAAATAGTAAACATTATTAAATGTGTAGATGGTAGCGCAAGATATTAAATAAATTGCGTAATATTATTAAAGCAATGTACTAACATTGTTTATCCTTATTTGTTAAAATAATAAAGTTCTTAATCGATGCATTGCGATTGTCACTTCATTCTTTCTAATAATCAAATGAGTATAATTCAAATAAGCTACCAGTCGATAAAACTTACCTTTATTTATTGCTCTATATATTATTATAGCACACATTTGAGCTTCATAGAGGGCATGATTAACTACACCGATGAAACATTAATATATGCAAATAAAATTTTCTAACATAAAATTGTTACCTAAGATAAGAAAAAAAACCTCGTTTTTTTGAAATTGAAATAACACGTGGCGTTTTTAAATTAAGTTTTTAATTTAAATCAGTCTATATGAGATAATAACTAATAACTAGCAATTTTGAATAGTGATAATGAGTAGATAATTAGATAATTAGATATATTTATTCCAGGGCATTCGTGTTAAGTGAAAATGTATAGAGATTGATAATTTCCTTTCTCTTTCTGCATGTACTTTTCAGGATCGATCACACTCACATGTATACACTGTATTATGCTACCAACGCTTAATTGAAATGCAAGAATGTTAATATATATTTACGCAATAGTTCTACGGTAATAGTATGTCGACTAGGTAAATTAAATATAAAATACCTGTGACGATAGGCATTAGTTTTTATTTTTTAAAGTAAAAGTCAGTACTTCAAGAAATAAGTATGTTATACTCACTCTCGCGTTTGAAGGTAGTTTACAGGAGGATTTAAATAAATATAATAATAATGTTTCAGCAATATACCTTCATGACCAAATTCTTCTTCGTCTGTGTCCATGTCTAAATATTCCCTATGAGATTCGAAAGACATTATTTTCGATATTTTCATCCGACTCTTTTTTGACGAGTCTACAGACTTCTGCTTTTCCACTGTAACTTTCTGTTTTTCTAATTGCAACATTCTTAATCTAATACTATAGAGCAAATACAAATCTTTCCACGCGAAATTATAAATAGAAAGACATTGATTGAAGTAAGTTGTTTAGTTGCCAAGTGAATCGTTAAATCAATATAGCTGTACAAGAGCTTTTCATGCACTGTTTAACTATTACAATTTATTTTCATTATTATAATTAAAAATTATACAGAAAAATTATTTGTAATATATAGAAATAAAATACAGAAAAATATTTCATAATCGGATCGATTATAATCAAATGAGTCATAAAAGAAGATCGACCGACGAATCAGCTTGAATAGTACGTTTATATATATATATATATATATATATATATATATATATATATATAACCGATTATCTTACAAGTACTTTTAAACTTTATCACTCTTTGAGTTGGAAATGTTCAGTTTTTTTACATGAGTGACACATTTTATCATATACCAAGTTATTTGATTATTTTCAAATATATCACCTGGGGTATCCGTATATTATTGCTAGTAGGACTGTTGTTTATTTTTTTAAAAGAATTTCCTATAATTTAAAAAAATATGTTTCATCTTAATATAAATAATCTCTGGATCTTCTTAATTACCTTTAACAGTTCTTTTTTTTATATAGATAATTATTCATTATTGATTTTCAATATAATATAGATGAATGTATTTAGTCAATTTAATAGTGTTGACATTGAAAATCTTCGATAAGAATTTTAATACTTTATTTTAAAATCTTAGAAACAAAAAGATTTTTTTTTCTCGCTGAACTTTCTCGCAGAAATATTTCATGTGTCTTACTATGGCGAGGCGAAAATTTCAAATAAAATGCAAGTATATCCAGATATATACGAAAAGTGGGTATATTTAAAAAAAAAATGAAATAATTAGAATCTGCTAAAAAATATTTGTATGATTATTTCAATATTTGTTTCATTCATTTTGTTTCTTTTTTATATAATCTTTATAATTTTCCATTTCTATTAATCGTAACTATGAGTTATCGTGTATCAACATTCTCACATTAAGCTTTCAGTGGATTTTTCATACCACTTGCACCGAAAGTATAAACTCAGTTATAAGTCGCAAAAATAATTATTTTCTGCTTCTATATTATTATAAACATGATCCTACATCTATAATATAGTAGGAACAATACGAATGTAAGAGATAAAAAATTAATGACTACATTTTATTCGTTTGCACTTTCATGAACATCGTACAATAAAAGACACTTTAAAGTAAAAATATTGTCTCATTTTCAATTGTTTTATTCTCCGTTGTTTTTCCTATATATATATACACACATATTTATTTATTTGTAGTATATATAGCATTTAAACTTTCTCTATAAATTCATTCGAAAAATTAAAAATTACATTATCCACAGTATCCCTTGATTAGTTAATATTTAATATTTTATTGAACGAATTATAAACCATTGGACATGTGATATGGGGATATCGTTAAGCAGTAAAGCTATGCATATTTTCTGTATATATTATTTCATTTTTGAATGAATAATATTATTTGATGTTCTTTTTTTTTAGTGGAGGTGATGATATGTACAGTGATATTCCATGAAAGTAAAGCGAAGAAATACTCGAATACTTATTATTGATAAAATTATGACATTTAAAGATAACGCGCCTTCCCTCTCAACACCATGCATGTCTTACTGTTTTTACTTTCAGGATCGCATTGAACAGTATTACTTATTGTATTATTTATGTACATATTAAACAGTAGTCGATTAAAAACACTGCTTTTAATTAAATTTAAAAAACTCTCTATTATTGATATTATTGTATAAATTATAATATTACAAATACGTATATATTATCTCTTATGAATATAATTTTTCATTGATTTAATTCTATCTTGTTGTATACTTTTATTTGTTGTTGTTATCAATATTCTCTCTCTCTCTCTCTCTCTCTCTATCTATCTATCTATCTATCTATCTATCTATCTATCTATCTATCTATCTATCTCTCTATCAATATCTCTGTCCAATTATCTAGCTATCCATCTATCCATCTATCTATCTATCATCTATCTATCTCCACTGTTGTTCGATCTAGTATTTCAGTTCACCGCTACTTATTGCATAGTATAATTCGCGTTAACGTACAAAATTTTCCATTTCCAATCATAACATTCAACTGTTTTTCTCTTGTAACGATTATTGTTCAACAGTCGGTGGCGCAATCGCGTCTCCGTTTATCGGTAAAACAATGAAATTTCCATAACTTACATTCTGTCAGTTTTTCCTCTGCCTCGTAAATTCCAGTCTCTATTTTGAACTTTCAATTGTAATTGTAAAATTTGATAATAACAGAGTTTACGAAAAGTATTCGCACCTCCCATTCTCAATTAGCATTAAAAAAATTCCGAGTATGACGCTTTCACGACCACGTGACCTTTGACCAACGGCAAAAACATACGCTCCTTTAGCGAAAGTGTACAATTGTTTGCACAATTCTTCTTTATTCGCAAGCTTCACAATTCAATAAATCACATATCTCTCTCGCTTGCTGCGCTTAATCGTATTAATATGAAATATCGATAGGATCATTACAGCGTGGTAGACGTCAGAAGCGGACGAGTAAAAGGAGGGTGGCGTCGACAATTATGACCAAAAGGAACCAGTCGACGTCGATACCACTTTGTCTTGCGGAACTCCTAGTCAGTAATCGCATATAGCAAGATCATGAAAAGTATTTAGGCTCCGATCTGTGCGCAGTAATAACTGAATTAACGATTCTCAGCGCAGTGCAGCGCGGGAGTAGCGATTGATTGAACGATAAAAGTATTGAAGTGCCGATTCAGTGTTCATCCGACGTATGACCGGTGAGTACATTTTACATTTTCATTTTCCATCCTATAATGTAAGCCGCTCTCCTATCTCCTATCTCCCTTTAATGTTTATATTTCTCCCTCTCATCTTACTTTTCGCGTATTATAAGGGCTTTATTAAAAGGAGCTGGTCGCGACTCGATAGTACGTTATGAATTTTCGCATTATTATTACGGGATTCAGCGATGCTTATGAGTTTGTGGAAATTGCGGTACTGCCTGCCTCTTCACTCTAAGGTTCATCATATTTGTGCGAGGAAGAATGAAAGAGAGACGAAGTGGAGCGAATATAATACTGTGCGATGATCAAACTTTTGACCGCGGATTTACGTATGTCGCTGTATGATTTATTCGCGTTAATGGATATTTTCATCGTCTGTTGAAAAATCGTCGATTATTGAAATCCACAAAGTCGACGAAATCGACATATATATCTGTGATTGAGTTGAAATATCATTTGAATTAAATTCTGAATTGTGCCGGTCTGCAAATTGTGACAATTACAATTTATATTAAGTTTAAAATTACTCAAGTCAATTTACATTCTTGTAAACAATTTTTATTTGGCAAAAAGAATGAAAATGATATGATTATATATTAATATCATCGTGGTAACATCCGGTCAAGTTTTTTATCCTCATAAAAAGATTTTCTTGTTACTTTCTAACTCGCTAGTTAATATTGAAATCTTTTTGACATTTTATCTAAAATATTAGTTGTAAAAAAATTTTGGTATTATTTATACCGTGACATGTCAATTGCATAATTTCATCTCTCTTAAACTTATTCATAAAATTCTGTCTATTAAAAAAAACAAAGTTTCATTAATAATTTATAATCGTTTATGAAAGTACTGACGAAAAAACGTCCATGCGCAAACAACGTAGTGCGCATTACTTGACTAATGCGTAATTTCATAAATCATAGAAAACTCTTAAATTTCTTATCTTTTTAAGCTACATCCAGTGTAATCTTTTTAAGGCAAATACTATAGAATCAAAATAATTATTAGACAAAGAGTCAATGGAAAACAGATTAATTTTCATTGACCAATCCCACACTCACATCATAATTATCGTTAAAATACATAGAGAATATAGGGGTGCATTTAATTAATTCAAATAATTGTTTCGAATTTGTTTAAGCCATTGGCTTTGCTCTCGAATTTTATTCATAATGATATATTAATATCATTAAAAGCTTCTCTAATAATATTGTTAAAAATTTATTGATTTTAATTTTTATTTATTTTAATGGATCGAAGCACTAGTTTCGGTAACAATAAATTATATTACTTTTATGAGTACTTTCTTAAGAATAATTGATAATTAATAGTAAACAAGACATAAATATTTAAGTTTTAAAAGAATTTTTAAAAAATTAAAAAACTTAAAATAATTTACGTTTTCACTTTAATTGCTCAAGTATAAATATCTGTATCATATTTGTAACATATTGATAAGAATTACATTAAATATTGGATATTTTCAGTTATTAAACAACATTTAAAGCTTCCGTTTATAAGTCTTAAGGCATCAGAATTATTTCAAATACGTGATAATACATTTGATAAATAAATAAATAACTAAGTTTAACTGGGAATTATATAATTATATAATATATAATGTCATAGGCATTCGTCCGTGTGTAAGTTCATACTTGAGTGGAGATTTTCTTTTAAAAGCGTGAATGCATAGCTTTTGTAATAAGTATTAAATATTATTATTATTATTTCTGGATACGCAGGTTCTACAAAAATATATTACTCACTATATTTATATTATTTATATTATTTATATTATTACAGCATTTATATTATACACAAGCTCATCCACGCATAACACTCACAGACGCATACGTACACATACACACGCGCGCGCGCACGCGCATACATTGTTTTGGTTTGAAATTTAAATCTTAGATATTAAATAAAATCTTAAATATCGTATTCAAATTGTATTTTAATTGAAAGGAATTCAATTTGACGAAGTGGTGAAATATAAAATATATATGGATTATTAAATAATTCGTGGTTTTAATCTACTTTATTTAAAAATAAAATAAGTATAATCAGCAGTTGAATCATTTTTCGCAAAGCTTAATAATTGTAAATAAATACCCCTAGGTTTGATTATTAGAGCTTTTGTTATGATTTTTATGAAATTCCTACACGTTCGTTTCACGACAATGTAAATGAATTTATGTCATGAATGTAAATGAACAAAACAGCCATTAAAATTAATGGAGTTACATTATGTTTTTACATAAACAAATAGGCATTCTCAACTGAATGAATATTCCAATTACCTTGTAATTATAATTTTTATAATTCAGAATCCTGCGTTTCTGCATATAGGTGGCGTTGACTAAAAGTTTTATTTCATTTGTAATGTATTATAGCATAGTACAATGTCTTTGATTTTAAAAAATTTTAAAAATATTTACAATAATAGTAATTTATTTCTAATATTCATTTGATAAGAATGATTGAATAACACTTCGTTATATAGGGTAATTATATTTGTTTATAATAAATGCAATTTTTCATAAAAATTGTTTAGATTGAAGATTATGCATTTACTTGTACTAAATGCACAGAGGTACTAAATCAAATTGGTTTTTATATTAATAAAGACCATAAGAATACTATTGAATATTTTTATTGAGGTAAATTGAGTTTTATAATATCTTTATATATATATATAGATATCTTCTTAATTATCGTATTTGCAGCTTATAAATAAATGAAAATGTCTATACATTCTTTTATTGGTCCAATGATTCATAGTACAGTTGAAGGAGAATTATTTGCACATGAAAATGTTCAAATAGATATTAAGAGTGGAATAGTAAGTATGAAATTTATATAAATAGCCTAATAGAAATAATTCAGTTATTATAAATTGAAAACATCCGCAATTTTTATGTTAGATTGAAAAAGTTATTTTGAATCCAAAATTAGATAATATTGACAAAGACAATGTAAAGATTTTAAAAGATGGACAATTTCTAATTCCTGGATTCATCGACGGGCATATTCATGCCGTTCAAGTACCAAATATTGGCCTTGGTTATGACAAACCTTTACTTGATTGGCTTCAATTATATATCTTTCCACTTGAAAAAGAATTTAAAGATAACAAATTTGCTGAAAAAGTTTTTGATACTGTTGTGGTATACAATAGAAATTGACTCGTTTTCAAAGAATATAATTTGTAATTTATAATAATAATAAAGAAAATGATTTGTTGATTATAGAAAAGGACGTTACAGGCTGGAACTACCACAGCTTGCTACTTTGCCTCGTTGTATACGGAAGCATCATTGGTTCTTGCTAAGAAAGCTGCCATGTATGGTCAAAGAGCATTAATTGGTAAAGTTAATATGAATAATTCTCAAGTTACTAATTATTTTGAAAATTATGAGAACTCTATAAAAGAAACCAAAGCATTCATCGAAGGCGTTAGAAACATATATGTAAGTGCAGTGAACAATGCTTTTCACTTTTATTCATTGTTATGTAATGTTATTAGTATTGTCATTGGCTTATTGCTATTGTTATAACGGGCTTTAATATTGTAAAGGTATTATATTTTAAGCTGTAAATATCGTTTGTACCAACATATCTAGGATTTTATAGATTTATTTAAAACAAAATTTTTTCTATAATCGATAGAGCCCATTGGTACAACCAATTATAACACCAAGATTTGCGTTAAGCTGTGATATGAAATTAATGGAATTATTGGGTGATTTGGCTAGAAAAAATCAAATGTACATACAGGTAAGAGTTAGAAAATAGATAGTTTGTTTTACAATAAAATCCACCTTTGAAAGAACTCGAATACATGTATTGTACATTTTTTGCATTTCATAAGACACACATATCCGAAAATGCAGAAGAAGTGAAAGCCGTTAAAGCTCATTTTACGGAGTATTCATCCTACGCAGCAATTTATGATGCAGCAGGCATACTCACGAATAAGGTAAACATTCAATTTCATGTTTCATCGTATTTACAATATTGAAAGCTTGAAGTATGATTTCAGACAATATTAGCCCATGGCATTCATTTATCAGATAGTGAATTAGCTATTATTAGTAAACGAAAATCTGCTGTTATTCACTGTCCATCATCGAATACATGTTTGAAAAGTGGTCTTTGTAATGTGCGCAGATTGCAAGCGGCAAACATCAAAATTGGATTAGGAACTGGTACTAGGAACATTTAACGAACAAAATTCTTTCCTAAATTACATACAATCGATTGCCAGATGTAAAAAGCATATCCAAAGATATTATACTTTTTTTAATTTAAGATGTATCCGGTGGTAGCTCCATATGTATATTGGATGCTATGCGATCGGCTCTTCAGGTTTCCATTCATTTGTCATTTTCGAAGCCCGAGTACGAACCACTCAATTATAAAGAAGTATTTCATTTGGCTACCCTTGGTGGAGCAGAAGGTTAATCAAAATATTTTCAAATTTCATAGCCAACTATTATCTTATTTATTCAATGATAAAGTTATCGAATACATTTGTTTATCTTTACAGCTCTGGCTATGAACGATAAGATTGGTAATTTTATACCAGGAAAGGAATTTGACGCATTGGTGATTGATTTGTCGGCTTCTGGTTTTGCATTTGAGAATATGCAAGAGCACTCTCTTGAGCAGAAGTTGCAAAAGCTTATATATTGTGGCGACGATCGTAACATAGTGGAGGTATACGTATCAGGCCAGCGCGTTGTATAAACCAATATACATTAATTTATGAATTGTATACTATTAAGAAGTAGAGAATCTCAGAAGTAGACACCTCTGAGATAAATAAATAATAATTTAAAACAAAAAAATTTATAAATTAAAGAAATAAAAACTTTATTTAATTTTATTTATGTACAACACTGGTTTATTATAAAAAAGGCTTATTACTTATTTTGATGAGGATCGAAAGTCTCGTGTTTTGATCCAATTTTAAAATTTCAAGAGGCTAACTTTGTTGCTGATGTAAAAATGCTTCAACGCTTCTCTTACACTGTTCATAAACTTTATAAAAACCATCGTTATCGCAATCCTATTAAAAAAAAATCATTCCTTCATTAATTCACACGAAGATTGGATATGAATTTAAATAATTTTATATTTAAATAGCTTGTATTCTCACATAATATGGATCCACTATAATAGTTTCTCCTTGGGGATCATATTTTCCAAGAAGTTCAATTTTGGCTTTACTTCCACGAGGCTTCTTCTTATTAAGTTCAGAAATATTGCTCTCATCCATACCAAAGATCCAGTCGAATTTATTAAAATCATCTGTCTTTATCTACAAATAAATATCTACCTCAATAGATTCAGATACTACAGCTTATTAAGATATTAGATGCAACAATGACTGTCTACTTTCTTACCGGTCTAGCTTTATGAGAATAATTAGCGATTCCTTTATTTTTTAATGTTTCCCTAGCTCGATGATCAGGATTGTTGCCAGTGTGATATCCGATCAAAGCTGCACTATCCACGTCCCACTTATCATCGATTCCTTTTTCTTGAACGGTCCTTGCAAATACAGCATCTGCGATTGGGGAGCGACAAATGTTCCCTTTATGGAAAATTTAAAAATTAGAAGAGCCAATCGATACACAAGTATTAAAATTCTATAAAAACCGGTTTTAACAAATAAAAAAATTTCACATTTAACTATTAGTAACATACTGATTTGTTAAAAAAAAAAAAAAAAAAAAAAAAGATTCTTAAGAACCAGATAAATAAAATCAGTTTAACAATTATGGAAATATCGTACGATTCCAAATCAGGACGAATAAACAACATGGAAAGACAATGGAAATCCATACCTAAACAAACCATGAGTACTCGTTGTTTCTCCGTCATTTTGTCAATTACTTTTCAATTTATTGTACCGTTTGGAAATTGTAAAAAAAAAGAAAACAAGAATAAAAACCACAACAAACAAACAAGGAATATAAGATAATTATTTCATAATCAATACAAAAGACTAGATATTAATGTATCGATGAGACGCAAATAACAGCAGGCAAACATTACGAAAAAAACACATACAGCAGTGCTGCCATTACTTACGGCAACACAATATTTGTCGCGCATTATAGTTACATACTACCACGTGCTTCCGGGTATTATGAATCTTACGGTACGAACTATTATAGCAAAAAACAATTAATTATTAACGATTGGCCAGTTGGTCTCAATATTATCAATAAAAATTTACAAAAGAGGAACTAAATAGAAATTGAGATATAGTTTTACTTTCCATTGATCTTTATATGTAAAGAGTAAAGCGCGCACAACGTTTGGCCGTTCATAAGCGAACGCGAACACTATAAATATTGGGGCTCGATGGCGCTTAATGAAAATTGAAAATTCATGAAAGTGTATTATTTTAATAGTGTTCGACTACAATGCTAATGATGTAAATTATTTGTTAGAAATAAGTGTAGTGCGACAATTTGGTTATCTACATTTTCTTACATGAAATTAACGCGTCGATTATTGCTTACGCATTTATCGTTAATTCAAATAATAATGTTTTGTAAAATCCTCGATCATAGATGATATTTGCACACAAATTGAGAATAAAAAGATCGTTTAAAAAAATGCGCGATTCTATCCTTAAACTCTTAGGGACCAATTAAGGCAACAAATAAAAATTCACGTTGCACAATTCAAATTGCATATTTCAAATAAGCTTAACGAACCAGTAGTAGGACATTTTCAACAGTAGTTGTAAATATAAAGGATCCCCGTAAAAGTCTATAGTTTAACAAAACTGTCACAAAACGAATCACAATTCAATTATTCGATCATATGAAATGTTTAATATAAAGAAAATCGACTGGCTATACAAAATCTAGAACTGAAATTGGAAAAATTGCCACTACTAGATGTAAAACGACAGGACAATAATACTATAAACGATACGATTAGACTGTAGAATAAAAAATAACGAAAAGAAAATATGTAATAATGTTCACGTGAAACGTGTGAACAATTTGTTCAAGAAATTAGCTAATCATTGTTATTAACAGTACTAAAGAAATTTCTTATTAACGCCCCAATATCTTATCACTATTACAATATGCGTCGCGGATACTCGTGGCATAAAATGACAATATACGAACATACGAATCGTCGTAGTAGTTAGTGCATAAGCTCGATGTACCGAAATTCGATAAAATACTCACGATTAAAATATTTTTTAAAAGAAATCGTTGGTTCGCTAGTTTCTCTTCGTTAGTCTAGCGTACGAATATCTCATTCCGTAATTCTCCATTTAAAAAGCTGATAAAGCTCGTGGAGCAACAGCAGCACCCAGCGACAAAAGCTTTGGAATGTCAGTCTGTAAAAGAGGTTTTTTTTTTTAACTTTTACCATCTTCGTTATTTGCACATTCGTGTGATGTTTTAGCGTATGCGTAACCCGGAGTATTGTTTTACGTGCTCATGAATAATGTAGTCGACGCGAGAGCGTTTGGTTACATGTATGCGCGCACTCGAGTATTTTAAGTTACGCCCTCCGTCCGGGTCAGTTTTACGGAACAAACGCAAATCGCCGATGAGGACATCTGTTCGCTCACAGGTAATGCCGTAAATGCGTTCGCAGCGAATTTATAGCTTCGTGGAAAGGCTGGGGCCGAGCGTTTTTCGAAATTCCGTTACCCATCCTTTATCCATCCAATTATTGTCCAGCGCCGATGCAAGTATTTTGCAAGCTCGCGCCTGCGAATAAACTACTTCCCTTACGCAAATCGATAATGTGTGCGTGTGCGTGTGGATTTGGGGGTGGGGGGGGGGGCAAGGGGGGAGAGGGCTTATGGATAAAAATCACGATGGAGACCTGCGATGAAAAGGAGAATAGAGGGAAAATATTAGAATACGATAGTCTTTGTAAAGGATGATGTACGGTGAGGGGCTTGACATACAATACGTCATCAGTGCTCATAATTTGTTCGAAAAAATATTATTTTTCTTAAGGTCCGCACGAATATTCTTGACAAATTTTACAAGCATTTTGAGAGTTGAGCACCAAATCAAATAAAAATGCATTGCTCGATCGAATTCAAGAACTAGCGAAGATTAAATTGTTTGTAAGTTGGGTCAAATCGTAATATAAATTTACGTCGTTCTCAACATACTGCCCCACATTACAAATATAATCTTTATATTCAACAAAAATCGGTAATTGTTTTTATATTTTTAATCATGTATATGGGATTGACGGTAGTGCAAACATAGACAAATCAATAAATCTAAAGAAGATGATTTCTCGTTGCATTTTGTATTGAACGACTTAATCATGTATAATGTATAATTTATATTATATATTGTATTTATATAAAGACGTTATTATTAAAAAAAAAAATATGTAATGTTTTTTAAGATCAACATTATGTTTGAATTTAATAAAACACCTGCTTTTTTATTTATTTATTTATTTTTTTTTTAACTTTACCTCATTCGTCATATACGTTTCCTGTTCTCAATTTTTATTTCTTACTAAATCAGAACCTTTTTAAGGAGATATATTTTTTGTTTTTTGGTTTTTTACTTTTTTTCAATAAAGAGCCAATCGATATTATTTACCACAATTCAAATTTCTACCTTATAACATTGTTTTAACCTGAAAACAAAAACAAAGTTAAATACCAATTTTTAATTACATACATTGGCAAATTTTAAAAGTTTAGTTATCATATGATGACTGGCTTATTTTTGCGTAAAAGAAGCAGGAACTCCTGTGCTATTACGATAATCATTGTACTTGCATAAACTCTAACCTTCCACACTTTTCTACATTCCACAATTCAATAATCTCTGTTATAATCATAAAAATGATAAGTTACTGCAAATAAGTGCACGGCTCCCCGAGTTAAAACGTCACTACTCCCGACAATACTTTTGAAAGTTCCAATGCAATGAGCTCATTAGCCACAGTGACCCCACTTTTTCCCAGTACTCTTTTAAAATATTTTCCTTATCCCTTAATGTTCGTAGGATGAATGGACATGCTATGCTATTGCTTCTCATGTAACCTTGTGACTATGACAGAGGGACACTCGACTAGCATTAAAAGATCCTGTGTAACTCGACCTGAAGTGCAAAGTTGAGGCTCTGTGAAAAATCTGAAAGTATTTAGGGAATATTTATAGCTAGTATTTTTCTATTCTGGCACTTCGCTTGATGCAATTTCTCTTTCTTCGCTCATTTGAGAAACTAAACACGCATACATATTTTATACATTAACATGTACGTGAAGTATGTTTATATAGAATATTAAGTGACTTTCCCAAGTAGAATCGGTCCGATATATTTGCAAATACCTTGTACGAAACTATTCTTTGTGATAAGTTTAAGTGAAAATTATGCTCTTTGTGGCATGAGACTTACCTTTTATTCGTGTAAGATTTTTTCAATTATAAAATTGTGCCTATATAACCTAATATAATTAATAAAACATTGCACACGTATAATATGTAATTTAATTAGATACGTGGAAATATATATATATATATATATATATATATATATTAATTTTCTTTTAATAAGTAAATACTTTGAGTGTAGTAATAATTGTTATTAATATTATTAATACAGCGACATAAAAATTGACATAAATAAGAGTATAATATAATTCGTTTATTATTAATTGTTACATTTTCTTTCAAATTATTTAACATCGATTTTATTATTAAATGTCTATTGTTTATTTGTATTATTAAATATTTGTTTATTATATTATTATTATTATATTATTCAATTGAATTGTGATGCTAGACTTAATCAAAATGTTGATAGTGAACTGATATTTTTAAGGAGACATTTTTTTAATAAATTTTTATAGCTTATAACGATATAAGAAAGTCATAATAATTATCTCGATGTAATTTAATTCTTTTGCTGTTGAATAAGGTTACGATGAAAAAAATACGTAAACCACAAATACGAGAATCTCCAATGCATTATGTTATAGTCAATTGATCTATTTTATAATATATTTAAGTTTCGATTTAATTATTTATTAAAAAGAAAAATAACTTTTTTTTCTTCATATTTTATATTTGTCTGATCGTATATTTGTCGTAAATTTAGAACAATTTAGTAATTGTACAATTTTTAAATTATGATTAAAATTCTATACAATTGCACGAGTAGTCATAGAAAATATTGAATTGTTTTTGTTTTTTGTTTTTAAATTCACTTTATAATTTTACAAGACGAATGGATGACAATAGGTTTCACAAAATTAGCATAGCAGTAATGTTTTTAAGTTCAAATTCAAATAAATGTGTGCGTCTTTTTTCAATGAGTTATTTTGATAATTTCTTTATCTATCTATTTAATATATACTTGTGCGCGTTGAAAAATATTTTTCAAGGACGTAGAATTTGTTATACCTACGTTACATTGTTGAAGAGCATCGTAATAATTTTTTGCATACCGACAGGTCCGATGTTTTCCATAATTTTTCATCTAAAGTCTTGTATTAGAAAAATCATTATCAATCATCAATTTCATGCAATCTTACATAAGAATGTGAGAACTATTTTCAGTATGATTGCACATTAGCTTTAAATGACCACAGAAGCTCTGCCAATTGTTTAATAATTTGCGAGTAAGTAACCGAGAAAATTTCAAGACTTTTTGGCACCTGCAGTATAAAATAATCATTTTATTCCTTTAGTTATAACCCTACTATAATTAGGATCCATCATAATAAACAATACAGTTATACTAGAAATGATTTTGTATAGATGAATGACAAAAAATCGAGTGTCATTTGTTTAAACATTTTTCACAATCGGAATGCTGTTTTATTAGTTCGTCTCGCAATATTTGTAAATTATAATTCATTCGATTCATCCAAGAGCTTATGAATTGAAAATGACAATCACTAGCTATTAATAATTAAACAATAATCATTGAAAGTGAAAATCATCATCCATTACTATGTTTCAGTTTTGCTTTCAACGAAGCATATTTTTCTTTTATCAAGCCATGGGTTATTTATTATATTATCGAGTATCATAATGGCGCGTTTACTTAAGTCTTTTAAGTCCAAACTGGCTATTAACAATATTGAAGCAGCATTGATTCCTTTATTATGAGAACATTTATGGATTCCACAACGCGATTGTAAAGAGGCTGGACGATAATAATAATTAATTTCAATATAACACTAAAAGCTAACGAAATTATCCCTTTCAATGATTGTTGCTCAGTTGTATTTACCGATAGTTCACGAGGTATTATAAAATTTACTTGACTTACACACTAGATTTTCATTTATCCAGGGTAGATGATTTTCTAGAAAGTTTGTGCATTATATCAAGTGTAGGCAATCGCGATCTTTCGATGTTTTATCATAAGTTCGGCAATCGGATTTGATTGGATGTTAAGCTATTTAACTGAAACTTTTGAAGTAACAGGTTCGTTTTTCTGCCGCTAAATAATTTTTATTTATATGATTGTATTGAAAGGAAAAAAGAAAATTTCGAAAATAAAAGAAAAAAAAATAGAAAATATAAAGATAAAAGTTAAAGTAAATGTGAAATTTATGCATAAATTTTAAAAATTTTACGATAATTAAAAGTTTGTAACATTAGTACAAAAAATTAATTCAATGTTTGGATTCTACTCGCGATTGGTTATTGTTGTTGTTGTTATTATTGTTATTATTATTATTATTATTATTATTATTAGTAGTAGTAATAGTAGTAGTAGTAGTAGTAGTAGTAGTAGTATTTTACTTTAGTTATTTTTTTCTTCATTATTATTAAAGATTGAATGAAGTGTTTTAGAAAATTACAACAACTTCAAATAGTTAGCTGCATACCATTCAATGTGAAAAATACTTGGATTGGAGATATTTCTCATTTATAGGTAAATACGAATGTACAATTATTATCTATACGTATATTATTATAAATTAATTGCTTTTATTATTTAAAATTAAATGCTATATAAACGCTTAAATAACTGTTAATATAAACAAAAAAAATGTATTTATTTTTAAATCTCTTACGACTATTATTATTATTATTATACTTAATTTTCAAATACTTCATTTCATATAATTTTTCTAATTTTATTCTTACCAATTCTAAGTTCCTGTAATTTTGAGTTCAAACATTCCAATAACATTGGTTTTTTTCTTTCCATTTTCCCTCATCATTTACATGGTAAATTCTTATAAAATATGAATATTTATCTATTTATTACAAGCAACTTGCGCATCTTATTAACTATTCCTTAATCATTTGGTTTTTTTTTACGTTTGATTGGATAATATATAGTTTCCATAATGGAGTTGAAGTTTGATTATATTAAGGACTATATAAATTTGTTATACTTTAGGATAATAAATAATAGAAATTAACGCATGGATTTGCGTATTTCTGGCAATCATAACGTTTACGCTACATACGCGAGTACATTCAAATGTTTCGGACTTGCATATTACATCAATTATTTTAAAGATTAATTTTTATTAGTCTTTCGAAATAATAGTCGCATCGAGGTTAACGTATTAAATTCAAAATTCCAGATAATTATTTAAACAAATGTCGTAAAAGCTGTAACTTAATTAGTGTTGGAAAGATATCTCTTTCTCAAGACAAGTTAAAACGTTGATGATGGTATCTCAGAGTATAATTAGGTTAATGTAAAAGGCGATCAAGTAACTCCAACCATAATTCATTATTTTTTGCGATTACAACGACGAATAACGGATCGTCGATCCGATAATCCGTGTCGATGTAAAAGCCTACCTTTCTTTCTCTTCTTTTTATTTATTAATTTACTTACTTACTTACTTACTTACTTACTTATTTATTTATTTATTTATTTATTATTCTTATTATTCTTTTTTCTCTCTTTAATAATAATATCGTGTCTTTATCCCTCAATTTTATCGCTAAAAGGCGGTAAATAAAGCTCTGCCGATGATTTTATCGTTTTGAAGAAATTCAATAAAAAGACTACTAATTGTTAGAGGGAGAGGTCATTTTTTATTTGTCAATGCTTGTTTGCTTTTTCCAAGCAATTGTTTTCATTGTTTTTTCTTTTTAAAATTACTAGACACTGTGTAATCATTAGGAATCGCGATTAAATAAACTAAAGTTTTCTCAGCTTAATTTTCATTGCCTTCGTGTTCTAAGTGATATTACATTAAAATAATCGATAATATTTTTTACATAAAATAATTTAATAACGTTTCAACGCCGTTTCTTATCTATCCTTACAGTATTCGATACTTCTTTGGCATCTCTCATTACATCGTACAGCCAAACGAAACAAATATTTAATTGATTTTTTTTCAATTACGAGCTATCCGAAAAGAAAGGAAATTTTCAGGAATGATCATTATGAATTTTAGATGGAAAATAATGAATGAATATTAGTATTTTTCTTAAATCTTTCTTCACTGCTTTTAATAACAACCATTAAGAAGATATTGTTTTTTTTTCCTTTTTTCCATTTTCTTTTCTAAATTAATTTTCTAGCGCAGTACGGCGTGAGAAAGTACAAATTTACGGTACTATATTTTACACTTCTGAAATTATTAATAATATTGAATATTACCGATTGCAATAACAACAACGATTATAACGACGACGACGACGACGACGATGACGACGACGACGACGACGACGACAATAATAATAATAATTAAAACATTGGTGATATGCACGTTTTTGCACAACCGATAAGGCAAATGGTTAATGCCAGTAAAAACAAGCTATTGGGCATTGTCAACAAATAGGAGAGAGGAAGAAAAAATATATTCGACATTAGTAAAATTAACATGCAATGTAGCAAGCAAACACGGCGTGGGGACTCGACGAGTACCGAAAACCATACCACTGCGAAATATTCATATAAGCCTTTCAAAATACCACTTATTTATCCTCTATTGACAACTTTGTCTGCATATTCCAATAAGAGCGTTGACTATCATACGAATGGATGCATTAAGCAGCAAGTAAGTGCATCGCGCACGCGCAGTCGAATTAATTCCCATTTTCTCTTTGGGCTCTACAGCTTCGATATCGCGAATTCACGGTATAGTTGTTTTAGCAATATAGTAATACCAAACAGTGTACAACAAGTAATGCCGATGCAAAGTCGTTCGTTGTTTTCTCGCTTAGCGGCGCGGATGTGGCCGATGATCATCGGCAGCGACGACAGCAGTGAGCGGAGAGGATTCGCGGAGAAAAACATTAAAGCTGTCTCTGCCACCCTCTCCACCCTCCAACCCCTCTCGCAACCACCCTCGCACCCTTTGTCATTACGTGCATGCATAGTGTCTATATATATATAGATAATGATATATATATATATATATATATATATATATATATTGATATAGATAAAGATATATCTCTTTCTGTTTCTCCCCACCTATATCTCCCTCGTACCCCCTCTCCGCTCTCTCTATTTATTGCGCATATGCACAATCTCGCATACAGTCGCATACCCGCGCTCGCCCGTTCACACACACACGTGCGCGCGCTTGCGCGCACGCACGCACACGTTACACATAGCATACACCTTTTCTGTCTTGACTTGTAGTATACTGTATGATGGTACGGGGAGAAAATGAAGAGAAATCGTCGTTGTCGCTTCAGCCGATCATGAAGAAGATCGAGGAGGCGCCGGTCAACGGCAATAGACAGCAAACAGCTGCGACGATGTCTTCGGGCTGCTCGATGACGTCCTTGAAGAGCAACAGTAGCAGCAGCTCAGACGTCGTCGCAAAGGACAACAACAATGCAGATCCCTGTTGGGACAGTCTGCCCAGTGTCATTCTCCTCGAGATCTTCTCGTATTTGCCACAAGAAAGTCGGATTCAAGCCTCGCAAGTAAATCCGTCGACAAAGTCCACTTTTTATTACTTTCTTCGTCTAAAATCTCCGTTCTAACGAATTTCACAATCAAACAATTTTATTAGCTCTCTCTCTCTCCCTCTGTCTCGCTGGCCATCGCTAAACTATATCTATATTTCGTGCATCGTTCCATTTCTATTTTTTTTGTTTCTTTTACACTTGCAAATGCAATTGCAAATGCAAATGTCATTCTGTTTACTTGCGCTATTATCATTGACATCATCGTCATAATCAATCATAATTACAATCAAAATTGCAATCACAAACAAAATTACAATTAGAATTACAATTACAATTTCAATTACAATCATAATCACAATCATAATTGTAATCACCATCGTCATCATCATCGTCATCCTTGTCATCGTCGTCCTCCTCCTCCTCCTCCTCCTCCTCCTCCTCCTCTTCTTCCTCCTCCTCTTCCTCCTCCTCCTCCTTCTCCTCCACCTCCTTCTCTTCCTCCTCCTCCTCCTCCCACTTCTGCTCCTCCTTCATCTCCACCGCCTCCTCCTCCTCTTCCTCGTCTTCCTCCGCCTTCTTCCCCTTCTCCTTCTGCTCTTCCTCCTCTACCTTCACCACCTCCTCCTCATCCTCCTCCTCATCCTCATCCTCATCCTCGACCTGATCCTCGACCTGATCCTCGACCTCATCCTCATCATCGTCATCGTCATCATCATTATCGTCGTCGTCGTCGTCGTTGTCGTCATTCATCATAGTCGCATCGTCATCAACGTCATTATACTTGTCAGTGTCATTGTCATCGTCGTCAGCCTTATTATTATCATTATCGTTATCTTTATCATTTTTATTATCATTTGGTTAAGATTTTTTTTTATATTACCATTACTATTTTTGTTGATTAACTAATTTGGCAATGTATCATAGGAAATTGGATATTTTTATTATAAATTTTTAATGCCAATAATGTTATTGCTATACAATTGATTTAAATACTGTGAGAACTGTTGACATTTAATATTTTTTTAACAAAGGTCTGCAGATACTGGAGATATGCATTATTTCATCCCAGTTTTTGGAAGAAAATCACATTTACTCTAATGGATAACGACAGTATTTTATGGTCAAGGTTAATATAATTTTTTTTTTTTTTTTTTTTTGATTATTAATTTCTATTAAAGTAATCAATTTCATTTTTAGGTGTCTATCGAGTTGGTTTAAATTCAGTGTGCAAGATGTAACGATTCGTTGCGAATCCGCCAATAATTATGTACGAGAAGCATTATTTGTTTTGAAAAAGTTGAGCGGTAACAGGCAACTTCGGAAGGTTTTTTTAGAACCAATCAGATGTATGTTCGAATACCCCACTCAAGAGGTGAATAGTAAGAAATTATTAAAGCAGCTGTTAAACATAATGGAAACTTCAAATTGTCTCGAAGCGCTAAGCCTGGGTTGCATCGAAGAGTTGACCGAAGATTTGACAGTTATTTTAGAACCTCTTAAACACAATCATGCCAATCACTTAACTCATTTGAGTTTGGCCTCGATCAAAGATGATCCCGAACACTATAATTTCTTGGAATTAGATCATTCTTTATTTAATAGCTTTGCAAGACTGTCCATATTAAGTATTGACTATGATCACGTTATAGATAATTTGCTGCAAGCTTTGAATAGTGGAACGATGGAAAGATTAGTTATACACGTACATGGCTGGAGCGGAGAGTATGTTGGAACAAGCAATAATGCATGGATAGCTTTTACACAAAAAAAGTGAGACCTAATTTTTGTATTATTCTACAATATCGTTTAATACTTTAAATTATGAATCAACAAGCTTAGCGTGAAATTAATAAAAGCACTTTGTTTATTAATTATTTATTAATTTCAATTTAATTTACAATTTCAGTCCTCGATGTGAATTACGCTTGAATCTCATTCACTCTTACAGTGCAGTGAGAGTGTTGGATAGTGAAATTTTACAATCAGCGATGCCTTTGACTCACTTAAAAGTACTGTTTTGCGAACGTGTCAATGTTACGGCATTTCAAATTATTTCTGACTGGTACTCCAGTACTTTGAAGTCGCTTATTTGGATTGACTCCTTTAATTATCATCAAAATCATTTCAATTCTGTGTATAATTTTGGTGATTTAAATAAGTAAGCGAATTACGATAGAAAACAATTAAGAAATTTAACCTCATTCATTGAAATATAAATTTTCATATATATTTTACAGTCCCGATCCTTTAGTATTAGCCGCTTGGAAATGCAAAAATTTAAGTGAAATAGTGTTTATAGGGCATGAATATTTTTTAATTAATTTAGCAGCTATCGTGCGTTTGAGGCATAATACTTTGAAAAGATTTGAGTTCGCAGAAAGCGATATTGTTTCTGAACAATCTTGGATGGAGCATAAGGCAATTATAAATGTAAATAATAATCATGATCAGACAAGCAATATTGTCCAATAAACTTTTGGTAAATTTCTAAAAGTCAATGCTAATTTCTTTGCAGGAAGTTAAAGAAGTGATGGGTAAGCAATGGAAACTTTTGAGCGACGAAGAGCTTCCGAAAGTTGTGATACATTCTTTGAGCGGTGATAGTAGAGAAGTAATAATGCCAATGGTTCTTCGGGATCAAAAGTAGCTCGTGTCCATGAGAATTTTAAAATTTAAGCAATCTCACACAAATACCATCCATCATCAATAGTCTTTTCTGGTGAAACCTATTCTCAGAAGTATGAGCGTAATATCACATGTTAAGTCACGTTCTTATGTTTTTCTATGGAAATATTTTTATGTGAAATATGCAATTTTTTTTTAATTAATTTTAAGTGAAATCATATTAAGATTATTACGTTATATACGTTCTGAGGTTTAGATATAATAGTCCAAAAATATTCTCTCACAAGTATAATCACTTGCGATGAGAATCAGCCATCCATATCTTAAGAAAACTGCAGCGAAGTCATTTGATGCACTGAAAAAATTCGTATTCGTTTCTTTTTCAGTAGAAGTTCATCCCAAAAAACTTCTCAATGGTAATAAAATCGGAGATAAACTGTTGTACATACAATTAAATGAGCTATCTGGTTCCTCGACGAGTCCCTATTGTTGAATATTAACGAAACAATGTAGTAATAATAAAGAAAAAAAAAGTACATCTGGACTACAGGACTAACAGAGTCTTTTGTGACAAACACCCAATATACAGGGTAAACAATGTACAGTTCGATGATACCGCATAAAAAGCAGAGAAACACAACATAGATTCGTCGGGGAGTAGAAAAACATCGGAGAGCGAATATATTCAACAAGCAGCCAGATAATGTTGCAAGTATTTTTCCATTGGAATGGGAATCTAGTTTATAGCGTTGATAAAACACAAGCGGAATAGATGTAGATGGAAAGTGTTAAGCGCAATCTTAAAACGAAAAAAGAAGAAAAAAAAACATCGCAATGCCAAGAATGGGCTAATATTTTACAAGAGTCGGGTGAGTAACGAAGAAAAAACTGCACCAAACTCGACGTCAACCTCGACGAAAGCATATGTAATTAACGAGCGATCCGAGGTTATTTTTAATACCAAAACCAATCGGACGCCTTAGCATAAGAAGAAGCATCTTGATGTGCATATACGCTGTGATTACGATAGGATTGAGCACTTCCAACGGTTGGACGACTTTTACTAAATGCTCCCCACATTATATTATCTATTATCTAGTATTGAGCATTGAGAAGAAATACAAATACGAGATAATCTATATCTAAAGGAGTTTAGTCACTAATCGATATAAATGTATATGTATGTATCTAATAGCTTTTGAATTTTAAAAACGTCAAGTCTGTAGCGGTATGTATCTCGATTTTGGTTTGTATGCGTGACTATCGGCAACACTGAGAACAAACAACCTTTAAATCAATCGAAAAACTGAATGGTACAAAAGTAGAGTAGTTTTATCAAGATATAAGAACAAGAGGATACCAAAAGAAGGTCGTCAAACATATGTACAGTTTGTTGATTTGATGCTTTTATTGACTCCTTGTACAATTAATAATCTTTATCATTGTCGCGTAAAACATACGCGAAAACACAGTCCCCCACCTCACCACACCCCACACCCATCCATCCATCCATCCATCCATCCATCCATCCATCCATCCATCCATCCATCCATCCATCCATCCATCCATCCATCCATCCATCCATCCATCCATCCATCCATCCATCCATCCATCCATCCATCCATCCATCCATCCATCCATCCATCCATCCATCCATCCATCCATCCATCCATCCATCCATCCATCCATCCATCCATCCATCCATCCATCCATCCATCCATCCATCCATCCATCCATCCATCCATCCATCCATCCATCCATCCATCCATCCATCCATCCATCCATCCATCCATCCATCCATCCATCCATCCATCCATCCATCCATCCATCCATCCATCCATCCATCCATCCATCCATCCATCCATCCATCCATCCATCCATCCATCCATCCATCCATCCATCCATCCATCCATCCATCCATCCATCCATCCATCCATCCATCCATCCATCCATCCATCCATCCATCCATCCATCCATCCATCCATCCATCCATCCATCCATCCATCCATCCATCCATCCATCCATCCATCCATCCATCCATCCATCCATCCATCCATCCATCCATCCATCCATCCATCCATCCATCCATCCATCCATCCATCCATCCATCCATCCATCCATCCATCCATCCATCCATCCATCCATCCATCCATCCATCCATCCATCCATCCATCCATCCATCCATCCATCCATCCATCCATCCATCCATCCATCCATCCATCCATCCATCCATCCATCCATCCATCCATCCATCCATCCATCCACTCACCCACACACACACACACACACGCACTATGTACCTACCCTTACATGCACACACACACACACACGCACACACACACACACACACACACGCACAGAGAGAGGAAGAGAGATAGAGAAAGAGTCCCGAACGTCAATACGAAGAGAAACCAACCAATCCAACAGCATCACCGCACATAAACAACATATACATTCACTATACATCTTGATTTATATTTACTTATCACGAAGTAATTTTTTTACGTGATGCATTTTTTAATTTGAGTAACTAACTACCTACGCGCAAAGCTTAGAGTTATAAAGTAAGTTAAAGTAAGAGGCCATTTGCGACGTTTGAAATTATCTCGACGTGCTTATTGGCTTTTTCATAGGCGAGAGAGGAAAACAAAATATCTTCATTGTATTATCGATGCTCTACGGAAAATCGTAAAAACGTATTTACCAGAGGTATCTTAGAGCATTAATACAAAGCGTGAGATTCAATATCAAAAAACTGCTAAAAAATTTTGATGTGATGATGTCATAGATTAATTAACCGGATTCTGAGGAATTGCGAGGACAGAGTTAAGTTGTAGCAGGCCTTTTCAAGATGTACCTGAGAATCGTTAGATGAGATTTCGGCGACGAGATATTTCATAACACCCCATTAACGACGGGTGATTTTTCCAACTTATGTGGCCTGCAAATGAAACGAAACTGAGCTCGATCAACTACGCGTAGACAATGACTGTCAAACAGTCAAATTTATAGTTGTCAAAATTGCCATGATAAGCAAGTTGATGTTGTTTTGACACTTTCAATTTGTATAATTATTAAGAACCCCTTCCAAAGGTTGTTTTCTAACGACGTTCTTTAATCGAAAGGATCTAAAGGACCTTCTTTAATCTAAGCGAGATTAAGCGAGCCAATGAGCTTGCGCGCATTAGACGTATCAACAAGAATTTCCATTTACAAGCTACGTAGCTTATTTAAAAGAATTCCTTGTATTTACGACTCACCGTAAGAACGATAATAAAGGTTGCGTTGGCTAAAATAATTAAGGATTGTATTAGTCGAGAAGGAGAAGAGACGACGACGACGAGGACTACGTCGACAGCGACGACGACGACGACGACGACGACGACGATGGCGATGACGGAACCAATGAATCTCCTTTATTTGAGCGAATCCCGAATATTTCTTTATCAACCTAGTAACTGTACATTCTCAGTAATAACTTAAGTATGCATGAGCGTTCCTGGCGTGGACGACAAAAGAAGAAGAAAAAAAGAATAATTGCAGCTAATATATAGCAAGAAGATATATGGCAATGTATAATTTTGTGATATCAGGATTTTAAAAAATATGATTTTGTACAGTCCAGAGCAGCAAAGGAAGATAAGCTTTAGCGACAAATGGCCCAGTACGAATAAGCGCAATTATGACATTCATTTATCAAAGACTGAACTTACTATTCGCGCGCGATTACGAACAATCACACTAGGGCTGCTCGAGGATGTGCAATCGACGGGAAGCTGGAAAACTGTAATATTTAGCTTGTTCTCGTTGACCAAATTGTTATTAATCTATTTACTACGAGTCGGCGTCTTTAATTTATGGAATGGAAACGACGAAAAGGACAATACGTTCGACGTATGATTGCTTGCAGGATGAAATGGTCAAAGGAAGTCGCGAAAACGAGCTGCATGTGATTAAATTGGATGAGCGAAATGCGATGAGCGAAAGAAAGTAAGAAAGAGACGAAGATTAGCGAGATCAGATATAAAAACGAGAATCCCCTTCCAAGCGAACGAAAACAAAGTACGGCACGATTAATACGACCGATGAAAGTACGTATATATCCAAATATAAAAATAAGTAGTCAATGGTGAGCAGCGGATAAATTAATCAAAAGCGTACGATGCATCTGTCGGGAGCGGAACAGCCGGAAAAACGAACAAGAGAGACACAAAGACAATTAATCATAGGTAGAATACCGTTACATAAAAAAACGCGCGCAGCACAGACGAGTTGTAAGAGCTCCGTTTAAGAGAAACAAGTCAAGACCTATTTTTAAGATGCGAATGTATATTTTTATACTAAGGCAGGCCTTAGTGTGCATATAAGACGATTGCGCGCGGTGCGTCATTACCCAGGTGCTCGAGGAAAATCGTTGATAACGAGAGAGAGTAGAGAGAGAGAGAGAGAGAGAGAGAGAGAGAGTAGAGAGATAGAGAGGAAGGAAGGAGGGGGTGGAGAAATGCGCGAGGAAAAGGAGCGGTGGATCGTCGGCAAAGCTCGCATTTGGGGCAGCGCAGCGATTAACGCGATTTACGCGAGAAGAGAATCAAGTATCCCGAACGAGAGTGAGAAATTATTAAAGCAGAGCACTTTCTTTATGTAATAAACGTCATGTGTATCGTCATATCGTTAAGACACTCGGATACCGCTGGGATTATAGTTCTTAAAGTCGCCAAAGAGAGACAGTGGTTCGGATTCTTCTTCTCCCTCATACGCGTACGTGTGCATTAGAATATGCACGTTTATATTGACAAAAATCTCGTGCCGTTCATTCGCAATTCACTTCATTATATATATATATATATATATGTGCATACGTATTTGCTATTGTTTACTTGTCTTGAGAGTATATATAAAAGACATCTGTGGAGAATTCAAGTTTTGTCGTACTAAAAGTTTCGTATGTTAAAAGCTTTTTTGTTTCTCCAAACAGATACTATCATCTTCCAAAAAAAAACAAAAAAAAATGAAAATGAAAATAAACATTTCTGAGACTGCGTAGTGTGTTGCATCTATAGTAAACCCATCTTAAGACTGAGCAATTCAAACGTCAAAGTTTTAGTCGTGTATTATTATATTTAAATGGAACTCAAAGAATCCGAAGCATCGTCTTTCAATTATATAATAAAATCGAAAATTAAATGATGGTATTGTTATACTTGTGCTAAACAGAGACGCTTGCTTAATTAGAAAATGCTTAAGTGAGTCTTGTGTACTTTTTTCCGCCCTTCGTTTATACAACATTCGTTATAATTACGAGAAAAAAAAATTCAATTTATCCAAAATGATAAATCGCTTAGCTTCTGTATTGTAATTATCTATCATTGTACAAAGTTTCAACCGAATAGATTTTTTTTTGTTGCCCCGACGGATAAGCAAACGAATGCTTTCTAGTCATTTCTCTCGTTCTCGCGCCAAGGAGATTCATTCGTGCCCCTCCCCCCCTCCACCACCACCCAATCCAATAAATCTTTCAAAATGCATTTAATTCTCCTCACTTCGTTACGCACTTTTCGGCTTTATCTCGAATACCTGGACACGTTGGGATGGATTTAATCAAGACACACCGTATCCTATCAATATCACGACCTTATCGTTCTTATCGCTCTTTTA